CACCTCTCCTTGTTGGCGTCTCCACCACCTATGTCAAGTAGTTATCCTCAGTCCTTTGCAGGAACCTCTTTGACTGTTTGTGTCTAGCTGTGCTCTCTTCCCAGCAGACGTCAGGGTGGTTGAAGGGGTTCTCCCCCATGAGAACCAGAGCCTGTGATCGTGTGTTGGCGTCTCCACCACCTATGTCAAGTAGTTATCCTCAGTCCTTTGCAGGAACCTCTTTGACTGTTTGTGTCTAGCTGTGCTCTCTTCCCAGCAGACGTCAGGGTGGTTGAAGGGGTTCTCCCCCATGAGAACCAGAGCCTGTGATCGTGAGGCTACTTCCAGCTGTCTGTAGAAGGCCTCATCGACTTCCTCTTCCAGTATAGCTGCCAATAATAAACGTAGAAGGCAGAATTGCATCCGAATCAGGACTGTCTCCTGTGATGACCCCACAGCAACACTGACATTAACTGAATGGTGACTGCAGAAAGCTGCAGAATCTGGGATTGGAGAAGCATTCAAATAATGGTTCTTCTAACGTCCCCTTCCAGGTGCCTTCAAGCCCAAGACCCAAGACAAAGTTCCTGCTCAAAACAGGCAAAGGAAGGCTAGTACTAGACAGGACTGATCTACCTGTTGACAAGACCACCTAATGCCTTTTCAGTGGGTCTGAGTTTTGCAACGTGAAATAAGAAAGATGTCATTTTTATAGTGGTGTAATATGAGCAGGGTCACCAGGGAAGCTGTACCAGATGTCACCTACAAAATAGGCTTTTAGAAGCATATGAGCCCCATAAGACCCGAGACAGTCTTTCTTCCCTAATTACTGTGAGCAGGGAATTCTTAATGCTTTAATTATATTTCTCTGCAAATGCTCAGTTTGCTGGGACACTTCTCTGCTTTTCTGTCGTCTAAGCTTCTAGACAGCTTCCGCTTGGTTTTTGTCTTTTTTTTTACTCTCTTGCTGCTCAGAGCAACCTACAGCAGCCAAATGACAAGCTTCCAAGCTGACAAAAAGGCTTCTGGCCTTTCTGTCAATGACTTTACTAGGAAAACTGTCTCTTCTCATTCATCAACCTAATTTTTCAAGCATAACACCTTATAAATGTTTCAGGCAGAAACAATGTCAAACAACACAGGTTATGAGAGTGGGACCAGGCTGCAGGAGAGAGGAAAAGGATCATTTCCAAACAGCAACATACAAAAAACTCTCAGGTTTACACCCAGTGTCATGTCCCCTAGTTTAGATGGGGAAGACATCCTACCTACTTTGCGAAGGATATCCAGCCGGGCTTTTTATCAGGGGTGACTAGTGATTTCATGAGCTTCTTGTGTGAGACCTCCAAACAATCAAACACACCAAAAAAAAGCAGAGCACTTTCTGGAAAAAAGCCAGGGCCTTTGGGCCTATGGCACATTTGTTAGGGGGTGGTCTTAAAAGTATTGGAAAGGAAAGCAGAGCCAGCTTTAGAAAGAGTTAGTCTTTCAGCCCTCCTCAAAGATTTTCTCCAAGCATCTACTATCCATCACGGTTAATAAAAGGCTTGAACAGAGAGGCTCCTATTCACTGAAACTAGGTTGCATTTATCAGACAAAGGGTAAATTCATAGGACTGAAGCTATTTATGCCTTTGGATAAAGAGAGGCAAACAGTTCCAACTCCCAAAATGGAGGGAAAGATTCAAAATATTGTATTATTTCAGTTTGTCATTTCTGAAATATCCGGTTATATTATGGAAAATTCTGCAACATTTTGAGCTGATCTCTCTTAAATGAAACTTTGTATATGCTCAAAACAGCATTTTTCCCTTCAAAATTGACCTAAATTCAAAGGGAAAACAAACCATTAGCCAAAATGTCAAATAATATGAAAAATTGACAGTACATCTTGATTGGATTTAACAAAACAGGTTGGATTGACCCAAAATGATGTGTTGAGCAAACCAAAGAGATTCAGAAGGCTGATTTGTTGAGCCCTAGTGGCTTCTTTCTCAGAGGAACG